CTGAATTACGCTTATCTCCACTTCGCCTGTTTAACTTCCCATAAGTATTCTAAGCACCTCTTTAGAATGCATTGACCTCTAATTATTTCTTGCTTTATGTATCCCTTAGCCCACATTGAAGGAATAAAAAATATTCCTATTGGTATAGAGTGCAGAATAATGCAAACTGGTTTTTGTTTTATTTATTTTGTAAACAGGGTGAAATTTTAATACCTTTGGGTCCTCCAAAAAAACCAGAAAGCCATGCATAATGATTTAATATCCTTCTTTAACATGTGATGTGACACTGATGAAACTGTTTTTAAGTAATGGGCCAAATTCACTATTTCAGTAGTGTGCAAATTTGTGTCATTCAGGCTTTTGACTGATCACCAAGTTGCAAAAATTATAGCCATGCCATAAGCTGTAGTCTGAGGTCTTTCTGAAGTCTCAAGATGCACTGGATTTTTGCAGTGGAACCTGTACGTTAATACACCTACGCTAATAATACTCCTGTTTTTCTGAAGTCAAAGCATGACTGGTGGAAAAGCTGGCTTTATGCTTGAGTGAGAGCATTTCACTTTCTTTTCACTGGAGGAATTTTTAGCCTGGCAGCAATAGCTTTATAATAACTGCCAGCTGCTCACTTGGCTCAAGAGTGCCTAGAACCGAGAGGAAGAGCCAGTGCATTGTATGTGTAATTTACTTTTCTCTGAAACTTGAAGGTTTAGGTCTCATAAATATTTTGATCTCATCTTTGATGGCCTTTATACACATTGGTCTGGGAATATGCATGTGGAGCATAGCTTGCAGAATTTAGCTTGGAGTACATTGCACTGAAGTTATTCCCACCAGGATAAGAAACAGATAACAGAAATTATTCTGGGAGATTCATCTACGAGTGGGTGGTCAAGAATGGAGGAAAACCTTTAACTTTAAGCAGATGGACCTCCCTCATTTTATAGTGTATATTGGGGATAAAATGTAATAATCTTCCCAAATATTGGATAGTATTGATCTGATTTTCACATCAAAAAAATAATGTTCAAGACACAATTTGTTAAGTAGAAACTCGGGAATGGAAAAGAGACCTTTTTTGTAACCTCAACTCTGTGCTTCCCATTTCTGTCAGGGCAATGATACAACAGAAATCAGGACTGGAAGGGTACACAGGAGCAATGGTTGTACCTTTCTCCACCTGTAAACTCACACAGCTGCAAACCACAGTCTGCTTGACTCTGGTTATTTAAAACTGGCTTCAGAAGCCACTGCGTACCAAAGGAGAAACCAGAGAAGACTATGGGCCTTTTTAAGATCTTTCTTTCTAAATCCTTGAGACGTGTCTGGAAACCAACAATACGGAGGTAGGAAATAGGTAGGAAGATGTGGTGGTCTCTCCTCGTCTGATTTTTGGGAGAAAGTTTTGCTCTGATCTTCTGATACCAGAAGTATCTGAGCAACAAACACTGAGGCAGCGAAGGAAGTTAGTACCAGTGGGTGCTATCTTGCATCCCTAAGCTGTGAATTCCTTGCATCTCTATTTTTCATTTCTTATAGTGGACAATCTCCAGTGAAATTAGAGGAAACTGAAATTCAGGGTATTTCACCCATGAGGGAAGGGAAAAATTTTCCTGAAGATGTCCTGGGGCATGCACGGGAGTATAATATTTGGGAATTCAGAGATCTAAACTCTAAAGGAGTATGTGATTTGAAGTTGTTTAATTAGCTTCACAGTTCTTTATTAATAGAAATAGTAATGCCTTCTTTCTTGGCAGTCTTTCTGTGTGTTAAATAGATTCTTTGTAGAAGGAACTGTCTTATTCAAAGTCTCATGCAGCAGCCAACTAATGAATCTCAGATCTCAGCTGCTAGAGTAACACAAGCAAATGCTGCTTTACTGTAACAAGGTGCTGCTTTCTTTCTTAGGAGATTTGTGCCAAGCTGGATCTGTGGCAAATGAAAGGGGGAACAATATTTTGATCGAAAGCGACTGCAAAACCCAACCTGTTACGGAAATCCCAATCTTTCAGTCGGGAGACCCCACACTGAGGGTTTGCAGTTCACTTGAAATCCTGTTTGAGATGTGGACAAGAAAGTAAAGCAATGAAAAAGTGGGAGAAAGGTGACACAGTTTAGGAGTTTTCCATGATGGCTCTGGGCAGGATTTTGAAGCAAGGTGTCATTCTCTCTTCTTTCTTCCCCTCCTTGTTTTCATTCCAGTACAGGGGTAGGAGTGTATCTGTATTTGTGCCTTCTTCCCGCCACATATGCACAACACCTGGGGTTAATGAGAATCTGAGAGGAGGTGGTTCTTTCTCATTCTTTTATACTTTTCATACTACTTATTCTCCCTCCCCTTCCTTCTGGATACAGGGGGATGAAAGAAGGCATTTAGTCAGATTTATGCTTTCTTTCATGTACAGCTGTAAGTGTCTCAGGATATTACAATTGGGTTCCTTTCTCCTGCCTTTCTACTAAAGTTCCATCATATTTTTGTGGTTCCCAGGCTTCTCTGACAGAAGGAAGATAATATGCACGTGATCTGGTTTTGCTTCAGCTACTTACAGACTGTGAGTAGCGGTGGAGCTGACCAGCTGCTCTTTCATGGAGTTCCTGCCTCAGTTGCTTTGAGGAACAGAAAAAGAATCTGGCTTTTCTACAGGTTGAGGGTGGGAGAAGGACTTTTCTGCAGTGTTGCCAGAATAGTGGAAGACTGCCTTTTTTCATGGAGTCCCTTTTCCTCATGAGCTTTCAGTGCCCTGTGCAAAATAAATGTAGTTTTGGAAAATGCCATCATCAAATTTATCTCACCTTATCTCAGCAGAAGCAGCAAAACTGGGAGTAGAATTTTGACTCTGAAGAAGTTGGTTCGTCTGAGCTTCTGCCTATAGACTGAATAACATTAAGGAGTCTCCAAAGTATGTGCTTGGTTGGGACTACGTATCCCATTTGATTTGACTGTTCACTAAATGATCACTTGCCAAGCTTTCTCATTAAAACCCAAACTGATGCAAACAATAATGTATAAAATCAGATCCAAATATTTGGTGAAATTCTTCAGCTCAAAAATTTAAGAGTGATCGGGGTTGATTGGTTTGTTTGATTACATTTTGTGCCTTCCACATCCGTGGGGATGCACTGTTCTAAAACTGAGCCCTACTGGGCGAGGTAAGGCTCTAAGTGTTGCACACTGATGCCTCCCAATGACCAATATAAAGCAGCACACTATGTATATTTGTAAAACTCTTCACCTCCCCCACTCATAATAGCATCATTAGATCATCTTTTAAAGTAACTATAAAACTTACCAAGTACCAGCCAGCATGTGGCTTTGTGTTAAATTCTCATTTACCATTGCGCAGGGATTGGGTATTATCAAGCAAAGGGAGATGCCCACAGCATTTTAAAATGCATGTACACAGATACAATAACTCTTGTATTTTTAACACAGTAGTAAGAATTCCATAGAAGCTGGAATAATAGCTAGTGTACTCCTAATCTTTAAAAGTAATATTAATTAAAAAAAAAAAAGTGAATATGTCAATGTATATAAAATCCTATCTACTACCTTATGGTGTCCAACAAAATCTGTTGTTGTCTAAAAAGCCAGTTGTGTTATTTAAGGAATGCCTTCTCATTTTGAGTATTTTCATACTTCAAAAATAACGTTCTCTGCAAATTCATACATCTTTTTCTTGTATTTTTCCACTTACAACTGTATTTAAATAAGACCACTATAAACCAACTCATTTGTGGACACTGATTAAAAAAAACCCTTCTGTTTTAAGGGACAACGTAAAAATCCAGGAAGTTGGTATCACCTTCCAGAGACAGTGTTCTTGGTTCAAGGTCAGACAATTGATCTTTAACCCACCCTGAAGAGCTTAAGGTGGGATTTTATAGTATAGAGGTTGTCTGCTGATGTAAGTCCTTTTTTTGTATGTTTATATTGGTAGGGCTTAATGAGATTACATATATTTTGATGAATAATTGCTGCCGTGTAAACTTGTCACCTACCTACAGTGACTCTTATGAATATTTGATGATAATAAGTAGTAGGAACTTCATTGTGATGCTCACATACACTTAAAAAAACAGCAGCACAGGAATAGCTTTTGTTCTGCTTTTTTGCTTGCAGTAAACAGTGTGAAATTTATATACATATTAATTATTAGGCATATCAAGCATTTCTGTTCTTAATACTAAGAGTTCCATTTAAATCATAATTCTGTTGTTTTAGGAGGGGAAGGATGCAGACTGAAAGATAAAAATTTTAACATCTAGATTTCTATTTTAAGTTGAGGCAAGGTTGACTGGTTGGTTTCATGCTTCTAGCTATGAATTAGCAGGTGAGAAGGGAAAGATACAATGGAACATACTCACTGTTTTGCAGATGCAGCCATGTTCTACAAAATCTAAAATTAGTATCTGTAGATCAACAGTTTTGTAGAGTTCTGTGCAATGTCTTTGGTCTATCCAGTATCACTTTATATGCTTTATAGGAAGTACTTTCGTGTCATATTGCAAATTAGGCAGTATCTGTCAGCTGCAGGCATGACCTTTTATCATCTCTTCATCTGGTTTCTTTTTTTGTAGACAGTGTAATAGAGGGTCCTCACCTTGTATGTTGTTTCAAGATGTTTTTGTGTGAAGCTGGGATTGAAAACCACATTCCTGATTTAATTGTGTTGAATTGTAATACTTGGTTTTGCTTGCACATTTGAAAGCTTACTGCTTTCATTATCAAACTTGCTTTACAGACCATGTTCAAAACACAAACTAATAATTTCTAAGTTACTGTAGCTTGATTAATTATATATTTTTCCTTCTGAGACTTACAGGGCCTATAGCTACACAGCTATATTTTTCCTTACTAAAGTAGTGAGGACAGCAGCAACTGACATTTATAATTGGAGGGGGTTTGTACTTAAAATAATCTGGCTCAGTATCTGTAAATTTATTAATGCTACTATAGTATTTGCTTGAAAAGCAGTGCTTTACAAAACTTATTTTTCTTCCAGGGAATCAGTTTCCTCCTGTTGCAGCTCAAGATCTTCAGTTTGTTCTGAAGGCTGGATACCTGGAAAAACGCAGAAAAGGTAGGTCTAACTATCTTTGAAAACTAGTGCATATTCTGTATTTGATAAGTCTATGTGGCAGTATTTGGTGCTATACACACAAATGACTTTATACGGGAGTGATAAATAAAATGGAATAGAAACTGAAATGTTGAAGCATTATTATGCAAAAGAAGCACAGCACATAATTGCTCCTGTAGTATTAAAAGAAAATCCTATTTCTTTATTGACTTAAAAAAAAAAATCATGCTGGGAAAGTCCATGTCAGCAATAATTCAGAGACTCTCAGATATTTTTGAAGAAAACATTAGGAACGTATGTAAAAGTACCATATGTTGACTTCATGTTTCAGTGAGCATCAAGATTTATTTTCCTTCAAGAGGGCAAATATTGATCTCAGCTTTGGTTCAGTCAATATTTACCTTGATTCAATAAATCTTATATTGTCACTTTAATACCCACTTAATGCTGCAATAACTCTAGGAAATATTTAGGAAGTTGTTCATTATTTCCTTATATTTAATGTTACACATGACTTCTCTCTTTATATGGTTTTAAATTCCCATTTGTTTTCTTACCACCAATTTGTATTTCTAATTTCCTTCTCAGTGCTTCCTTTCTTCATGTCCAGATTTTGTTTCCTTTCCTTAGCACTTTTCCTGTCTCCACCTCCCTCTTTGCTCACCCTTAAAAGAAGTAACATTGAGGTGTTCAGTAATGCCACGAATGGATATAACACAAACGATATTATTTGCAGACCACAGTTTTCTTGGCTTTGAATGGCAGAAGCGTTGGTGTGCTATCAGTAAGACGGTCTTCTATTATTATGGAAGTGACAAAGGTAATTATAATAATTATTATAAACGATAAAAATGATCTTTTAATGCACAGAAGAATATGAAAGCTTTAGTGGAGTTGGAAATGCAAATATAAGGTAATTTTAGGAAAGCAAATGAAACTTAAAAGAATAATTGGTCCTTAAACAGTGCTGTGATTGTTAAAAATGTGTAAATATTCTTCAGAATCTGTAAGTGATGTGTTCATTTTCTAAAGAAGTGAATCTGAGGAAAAAAGATAGTTACCTGTAAAGCTACTTTGTGTGCCAATAACAGCTAGCAATTAGGTTTGATGTACACTGGTACTCAGTTAATTTACTGGACAGAAAATGCTCTTTCTGTCCAATTAGGATTTTCATTTTAAAACACCCTCTAGCAATTATACCTTCAGAGTTCTTTAAAGATAGTTCTATCCAGGAAAATGTTAGTCTACACATAGTGGAGTTCCATGTTTCTTTGTAAATAGTTTATGTTCTGAAAAATCTAGAAATAAAGCAATAACTAAAAAACTAACTGAAATTAACTAAAAGCCAGTCCTGCAGACTAAGGCTAACTTCTGAAAGTGACTTTTAACGGCCAGTTTAGAAAAAATCTGGCATAGATATTGGGAGATCACTTGGAATTTTAAAAATTGAAAGTCAAATAAAACATCCCTTAAATTGTGTGCCAAGTGCGTTTGATATTTAATACAAATAATACAGATATATAATGAGTAAATTAAAAAAGTGCAATAATGTTTTTTCCCTCCCCCAAAGAATACTTATTCCTAGGCAAAGCTGAAACTTTTTTCTTCTGTGTATGTTTGTGTGACCCTACTTGATATTTTGTATTGTTTTATTCAAAAACTAATTGAATTTGGTCCAGTTTGTTTCATTCTTCATTGTGCTGACTCCTTTAAAGTCATCCTCTTTACTTAAAAAAAAAAAAGAGTAAGGGTCTAATTGTAAGTCCAGTTTTCATCCTGCTGCAGTTTCGCATCATATTCTCCTTTTCCAGACTTTTGGTTGTATATCTGCTAAATGTTGTTTTTTTTTCTTTACTTCTTCCTTGGGATTTACAGAATGGACAGGCTTCAAAACCATAAACAATCTTTCTTCAACGATTTTGAGGAGGTGTGTCAGAACACTGTTTTGTCAATAATAATTTGTTTCTCTGTAAAAATATCTCCACATGACTGGTGATGTTAGCGCAGTAAAACTGGCGCAGCATGGTGGAATGGTATTGTCTTGCGGATCTGGAGTGACCAACAGTCGCTCCAGAACTTGCCTTTGAAGATGAATCTTTTTCCTAGGCTAATTTGAGGTACTTTCTTCAGCCCTCTGGTGCCCCAGTACCTAAAGGTTCCCATTCCGGTGCAGAAGCATGGGGCCATCGTTGTGCAGAAACTGGATACCAGGGATTGCTCTAGTCCCACGGCACACTAGTCTGGTGTTGAAACTGAGCTGTAGTGCTGGTGGTTGTGAACGTGTACGCTGCCGTTTATTACGGTGTTTAGCTGTAGATTGTCAACATGGACGAGGTGTGCAGTGAGACAATCCTGAGGAGACCTGGCATTTAGTCACTGGAAGAACCTGAAACTGTTTTCACTCCTGCCATTACAGTCAGCAGCAGTACCTGGCATAGTACGCTGTTCCACTGGGGCCCTTCTTTTGCTGTGATCTTTGATGCTGTGCCATATGACTTGGGTCACGTAGGAAGTGAAGGTGTGTTCTTACCAACTGTACAGCGGTGAAGTGTGCATTTGGGTGGCTTCATGCAAATCGTTGCCACCTCCTGAATTGCTGGGATGGCATCTGTCTCAGCGATGCGGGTCTGCCCTCGCCTGCGCAGTGTCTGCAGATGTTTTGTATCAGCTGGGCCCTGGAATGGGAAAATTCCCCCTCGTCGATGTGAACCTGGTTTGAAGAGAGACAAGGGAGAGGGGGATTCCATACGTGCTCAGTCCAGCTGCCTGCGTCATTTTCAATGGCTGATGGAGTGCCTAGTGCCTCTGTGTTGTGGGACACAATGCAGAGAGGTAGTGGGGGTTTCTAGGTCCCGCTTGGCTTGTTTTGCCTTGTGTATGTTTTTAAAACTGGACATGTAGTCAAATAATCTGTGAGGGATATTTTGTGTTTGGTGCCATGTGTATTTAGTTGGTCAAGGTTTGATTTTTCACTCTTAGATATCAGGGTAAATGTAACCGAATGCTAAATGTGAAGCTGTAGGATGCCTTTTTATTAGGTTGTGTAGATTCAGTGTTTCCAAACCACTTTTAATTTTTCTAACTTTTTCCTTTTTACTTGGGAAAGCAAGAAGTAGTATGGAAGTGTATAAAGCTTACAAACACATGTAAGGAGAATTTCCAGTGTCATTCATTCAGAGCTGAATGATGAAAAATAGGAAGCCTAGTCCGGAGCAATGTAGGGCAAGACAAATCCTGTGAAAGTACAGTAAACGACTCTGTGTTTGTGTATGTGTGTGTGTTCACCTAAGAGATTACAAGCATCCTTTTAAGAGTTGTGATGCCTGCAGGCTGTTAAATGTCTCGTTTCCCAGTTTCCTCCTCTGTTTTCTCATACATTTGGTGCAGGACTGGATAGTGAAACATTGTTATTTATCTCTGCAATATAGACCGGTCTAAGTGAATTGCCTACATTTTTTTCCCTGGTCAATGGTATGTGGAGTAGATGTGGGAACAGGGCTTAAAGGTTTTGACCTAATTACATGTCAGAAATAGGTATTGCAGGCAACGAGTGTATATTTGTGCTTGTGCTGCAAGATTTGTTGCCAGCATGTGGCCCACATCATTGCAGAGAAGTGTGTTCAAATGCCACAGATGGCTTGGATTTCCAGAAGCTTGCCTGGTCTTCCTTTTCATAGCCTTTCCTTCCATAAACTTTTTAGTCTTTCTCTTTTCTTTGCTTCCATGCAGTTGCATCCTGAGTTGGGTCCCCTGTTTGCACGTCGTTTTTGCTATACAGTCTCTGGCAGTTCCTGTGTACTCGGGCACCCTAGGTAGTATGGCTAACCTTTCAGGCCTAAAAATGCATGTGAAGAAGGAAAGTTAATTTGTTGCTTTATAGATGAATGAATTAATGGCTTCATTACTTCTTCCTCACTAATCCACAGTGTTATATGCCCTTCTGTCTCAGCAAACTGGAGAGATCAGCTAAACGTTTAGCAAGACAGTAATTGATAACATCATGGTAATTTTTTCCCCTGTTAATGGGCACTAAAAATTTATTTTCATTTTTATAACTTGAAAATGGTATCTGCCCGCCAGTAATATGATGTTGAAAAGAGGGATAATTCAGAGGCTTTTAGAAAAGTCTGAGTTTATTTTATTTATGTATTTATTATATTTAACATAGACATGAAAATTTTGGATATCTCTGAATAGTACGATAGTGATGGCCGGGCAAATGGACGGACTGCTTTTATTTGTGCAAAAGAGAGTTCTTATTCTATTTATTTATTTATTTATTTAAGAACTTGGTGACTGAATAATATTAAAGGAGAGGGAAGAATTTGCAGATCAGTCCTAGTGCCTCACCTAACCAGGCTACTGGAATTTCTGCCATGTGCTAAGCTTGCAAATTTCTTCTAGGAACGAGAAAAGATAGACAAACCCACTGGAAAGCTGTTGAAGTACCGTTTTGCTTTTAGCTACACACTTCCCTCTTTGAATAACCACATAGGAAAGGCAAAAATCCTTGTATAGTTTAGATTTTAACAGAATCCATAACTAATCTGCAGGAATTGTGAATATTCAATAGGACATTGTTGCAGCAAGGTGATGGTAATGAAAGGCATCAGCTAATGAGTACTGAATCTTCTGCTGTGAGAATGTTAAATTCAGACCTCAAGAGGCACACTTGCCATTAAGAGTGTGTTATTTAAAAAATAACAGTTAAGTATAAGCAAACTGAATATAAACAAACTGGTGCCTTAAATGATGTGTTTCAACCATTGCCTGAATTACTTCATTTTTTCAATTTAGATTTCTCAGAGAACTAGATTAAAGGAAAAAAGTCTACTGCGTTTCAGATCCCCTATCTGAAAGGGAAGAACTCCTGTGCATGCATTTGGGAAGGACTGTTTCAAAAGCTGGAAAAGGAATTACCATTTTGGAGATACTGACACTTTCTATTTTTAGAAAGCAGACACCCTGCATATGGAAAAGTATGTGAAACTACATTTAGCATGAAGCCATGTAAACCGTAAGATCTTACAGGCTCCTAATTTCAAGATGAAGAGAGTTAAATTATAGATTCTAATAGTATCTATAAATACTTTATCACTCTGAAATCTTTCCATTTGCCTTTGTTCCTTATGCTTTTCCCTGTAACTTCTTTCCTTTCTACTATCCCTCTGTTCTTCAGAATGCACTAATTCTTTTTACATGTGCTAATAATATGGGCACATAGCCTTAGGCCTCAAATTTACAACCCAATCATTTCAAGACCCCTTACCCTTCTTTGTTTTAAAAGTTCCCATGGACTCAGTTGCGCAAGGTTACTTCAAAACCCTTTTCTCTGCATCCCTTGAGACTTTTTTCACCAATATATCGGCCCTGTCTCTGTTGTTAACAATATTATTATTTCACTATTTTTAGGATGAATGAAGTTTATATGTAAGAAAAACGTTTAAAGTGGCTCTCAAATTTCATTCAGATATGTATTTTATCTTTAAAGAAGCATAGCTCCCATATTTCCCTCAAATACCATGTACTAGTTTTGACTTTTTAATACTTAGTGCCTGACTCTCCAGTCTGTTAAACTAGCTTTTTATAATTTCAATTTTCTGATGCAAAATTATCTACACAGACCCAGTTTTATTTTTCTGTTGTGTGCCTGATATGGGAAAAAGGAAAGAGGAGGAAGAGAAGAGAGCGAAGAACAGCTTATTCTGAAGTGAGATATTCCATAATTGTGGAGCAACTTATGCTTGGCAATGTCCTTTTTTTTTTTTTTTAACAAGATGTATAGTATTATACTTATGCAATACTGTTCTGTGTTGTTCTGGGAGAACTTTAGAGTTTCTCATTGTTGAATTGCAAAGCCCTGTCTTGAGAAAATAAGAGACAGCAAGAATATGAAGTGTGTTCCATCCGCATGTCTTTCCTTTTAGTTTATCCTAAATATGCTCTTGTATTTCTGCTTAGGCAAAACATCAGTTATGATTTGGGGGTTCAAAATGAAAGTGAAATCTCTAATGTAGATGTGCTTCCTGAAGCTAATTCTAAGGGTCCCACCAAAGAAAACCCAACTATACCTTCTTTTAAGGCTCTGAAGTTTTCAAACATCAAGAACTCTTTTAATTCTCCCTAAAGCACAGTGTCCAGAAAATAGTTCTGATATAAACAGTACCAGTCTGAGTAGGAAAGCTCATGGAAGTCACTGTGGTGCTAACTTCACATGGCAGCTTTAAACTGAAAGCCCGCACACCTATTTAGCTGCAAGCAAGCCTGTGCTGATAAATGAAGTTGAGGTCATCATTGAGTCTGATGACAAGATGGCCCTGCCTTCAAGCCCGCACCTGACTACTGTGCCTGGCCAAACGGCTACCATGGCTTACGGTCTGCTCTGTGGTTATCAGTTGATGGGGTTGGCCTCCAGTCCTACCTGGGAAGGCATGTTCTGCAAGAGCAACTGGGATTTGTGGGCTTCCATTGCTTGTCACCATCAAAGCACACAGCTGACCTGTGTCCTTCCATTCTGTATTTGTGGAGCCGTTTCTCAGGACATACTAGGTCTTACCGTTGGCTGGCTGCCACAGGGAGTGTGAATGCATACTGAGAGTCTTTCTCTCAACTTTAATGGGTTCTGGGTCAGCGCTGTGAAATGTCTCATCGTCTTAAAATTTCCTCATGGTCAACATTTTAAGCATATGCATAATGCTACACTGGCCTTTAATCAGGGGTGCTTTACCACACAGACAATTAGAAGCAAAGGTAGCAATGCTGTGACTAGTCTGTGGCTATAAAGGTCAGTGAAATAATATAATAACAAAGGATATGTATTTTTTTGGTAGTGCATACAGGTAATTTTCATTAGCACTGGAATGGTGTGTTCAGAGAGATAAGACAAAGACAGTATAAGCAATAAAACGATCAAATACAATATGGTTACCATGCGCTGCATTCCCCTTCCAGTGCAAAGTACAGCATCTTTCTGTTTTAACTGTAATGCTCTTTGAAAGAATGAGTACCGGTACAGAGATCATTTGAGATTAGCTCTGTAGAACTGTATTACCATAAAAGGGATCATCCATGTCACAGAGAAGCAGTTTCAGAAGTAATCCAAGAGACTAAATTTGAATACTTACCTCATTTTTATCTTGACAAAATGTTTTTACCTTTTGAACCCGGTGTTTGTTTATTCTGTCTGCATACTCCTGTCTTCTTGGGTTTTGATAAACCTCCAGCATGGGAGAGTGAGAAATTAATGTGTTTCACTTCATCTTCTCCCTGAGGTCACAAGTGAGGGAACAATAAAATTTCTAGGCAGAAATGAATTTCATCAAAAGGGGGCCTAGTTAAGCTACTGCAAGTTAGTATTTCTAATATGTGCCTTAGTGCAATTCCATGAATTTTGCATCTGTGTGCTGTTTGATTGACATAGGGGTGGAGGATTGAGCAAATATAAAATATTAGTACTGTATCATTAGTACTTAATTAAGACATAATGAAACTTAGAATGGGGGAAGGACTAGAAGAGAAAATAGAGCAGTTCCCTGTATTTTCTCATTTAATGGTGTTATTTGGTATTTACCTGCCCTGAGTGAGAGTTCATAAAAAGGTGAAAGGATGAAAAATTTGTGTCCATGTGCATATAAGAATACTAGCAAGAGTATTTGTATGGTGACAGACCTTATGCCCATTGATGTTCATGTTGCTATGTTAGCCAATTTTTGCCCTCTCAGAAGTGGAAAAAAGGATTTGCTTTCCTATTAGATTTCCAGAAAGATGACAAAATAATGTTAAAAATTGTAGTTCTTTCCTGTTTTATCTACTATAGAACTTTTCTTCTTGTGTTGACAAACATAAGCAATGGATGTTCGATTTGTACCCATTTGGTTCAGCAATACTTCAAGTAGCTTTGCTGTTGTGCCTGATGCTTATTGTTAATTAATGCTTTTCTCTACTGTGGAAAAACCCCACGCTTAATGGTATTTTCTTTCATTTGCAACTGCACTTTGTTCTTTGTTTGCCTGAGCAAAATGTGACTGATGATGCCTATCTTCACTTCAGCACTGTACTGCGGTCTACAGAAATTGCAAAACTGAATTACTTTTTTGGTTTGTTTTTAATATTCACCAAAGCATGCCAGAGCATATAAAATCAGATGTAGGGTTTGTTCTGAAGAGCTCAGGAGTGCTCAGGTGCCACTTGCCCAACATGCAGTATATTTGAACTCAGGCCTGTTCTAAGTGATACTTTTATAAACCAGAACCTTTGAAAAGTAGGATTGTCTTTAAAACAACCACATGGCTCCACATAATAAACTGTGGTAGGGCTCAGTACTTTTATTAGCTAATTAAACATTTGCTACATTGAGAGAAATGCTTTTGGAACACACACCTGAATTTATAACAAAATTCATTCTGTATGTGTGCCATGTGGAAAGGAGGCACGTCTGGGAGTGGGTGGGAGATTGTGAGAAGAAGCTTTTCCAATTGCTTAAAATGGGGTTTGAAGTTTGGGGTTTTTTTTGAGTGAAGTGGTTAGTTTAGAAGGGAGCTCAGCAAGTTCTGAGCTGGACAGGTTTTCCCATTGGTTTACTGAACCTGAAAGAGACACTGATTTATAGGAAACGTGTCTTGTAAGTTCCAGTTCTTGGCTTTCCCTAGGTACAAGTGTCATAACATGCACTTCTTAGTAAATAAGACCACCATCTGCATACATCCCCCTGTGGAATTCCTTAGGCATCCTACAGAAAAACGTAATTCTGTGTACATCTTCCTTTAAAATAAAGCTTTATCTCCAGAAGCATCACTTAATCATTTTGCTAAAAACCTCCCTGTTCTTCGTAAAATTCATGAACTAGAAAACAAAATCTGAATAAACGATAACCTGCTGAGCCACTTACATTCACTGTTGTAAATGAAGCTCTAACTTTTGTTTTTTATCTCCAACAGACAAACAACAGAAAGGTGAATTTGCCTTAGAGGGCTACACCATCAGAATGAATAATAGCCTTCGGAAGGATGCAAAGAAAGATTGCTGTTTTGAAATCTCCGCTCCTGATAAGCGCATTTATCAGGTTGGACTTTTTTATGTTGCCTTGAAATTAAATTGATAAAGCCGTTAGAATTCCAGTTGCTGAATTAACATTTCAGTAAAAAAACTTTCACTGACATCTTAATGAAAAAAGGAAACCCTAGCTTGCTTATACTGTACATTCATATGCTAGGGAAAAAAAAAAATCTGATTTAAAATATGTATGTATGTGTTCAAATATTATCTTTCTGGACAAGAGCAAGGAAATTTATCATCTTTATCTGTTGGTCATTTCAATGGTAGTATTTTAATATCTATTGTATAGTATGTCTGTGTGATTTCTTGGATGAATTAAACAGTAAAAAAAAAAATTAAAATATATATCAGTGTTAAATACATTGTATTGGTCATGGCTTTGGAAGGAAAATCTACGTAAAGGCACATATCAGCTGTGCAATTCAGAGATCTATCAGCTAGACATCAATATGGAATGTAAGTTTAATAAGTTTTAAATATCTGAGATTGCAGTTGAAAGCCAGTTAATTAAGCTGTCAGGTAGTGTGTTGGAGTCTGACAAGAACATTTTTAAGAAAACTGTACCCAGCAGTCTAAAGAAATTCATGGGTGTCTTCTAATTGTCAAGGGCAAATTTTGTTCATCAGTTCTGGCTTTGACATTGATGAAGAGAAGCAGCTTTTTTCTGCACAGCTGCCAGCTGCTGATCAGAGTTTCAAATCCATCATCCTCTCCTTCAATTACGTAAATTTGTCAAAATTAGCTGTACATTATAAGAAGCATCCTTGCAAGAAAAGTACCAGAAGACATGAAAAGAATTACTAATCATTTCTTGAGGAAGTGATGAGAGTGCTACAGTCCTTTTTTTTATTGCTAATGAAATTGTAGCTGTGTTTTTGTCATTACTGCTAGTAGTTATTAATAAATGTTTAATAGTTTACAGCGGCCACTCCCAAAGAAGCAGAGGAATGGGTACAGCAAGTCAAATTTGTAATTCAAGGTAAGCCAGCCAGTAGAGCAGTAGGCTTTATTGCCAATGCCGTAGAGATGGTAGTTCTGTCCATTAACATATCGGTCATGTTTGTATATGTAGCATTCCCACTTGTCCAAGTTTTGAATAGGGAGTCCTAGTTTTCAATCATGTGGTAACTTTTATATGACTTCTCTCCTTTTGCAAGATTTTTGCTTTTCTCCAAGACTATTTAGCTTGAAAGCTTTCCCTTATGACCGTTATAAGAAAATAAGAATATACTGTAGCCACCAGGTCTTCGGCTTAGGCATTCTTTTCCAGTAAATGCTAACTTTTTTAAACCGCTGTTACATAGATATGGAATCTAATACTATTCCTGAGGAGGAGGAAGAGGAATATGATGATGTTGGACAAGCGGGCAGTGAACCATTAGATGATAGCATTTATGAAGAAGTTAAAGGTATTGTTGAAATTATTTACTTTATGACTTGTGATCGTTTTGTCTTCTCTACTTCCAGTTTGATAATTCTGAGTGGCTAAAAGTAAGTGAGTAAAGTAACCTGATGAATAAGATACTTTCAGATTTCAAGTTTTTCTATGACACTGAGAAAAGAATGTGTCTTCAACTAGGTCTGGGTGAGAACAGTTCGGTTTTCTGTAGCAGGGGCATGAAAATAGTGCAGAATGTGTTAAAAGTGGTCTCAGGGGACTTGCGGCTCATTAACATTCTCTGGTATGCAATTTTTTAAAATTAAAAAATTGACTTACCTTACACCTTTTTCCACCAACTTCCCCATCATTTTTTTCTTGATTTAATTTGGCATTTGTACTAAGCATAAGTTCTCTATCAGTCCATATGTTATCAGCTGCTGTCTAATACATGATATTACAATCCTGCAAGAAAGCAATGTGTTGGCCTGAAAGAGCGCTGGAGCTGAACTGTAAATAAAGCAACGTGAGTATTGATGTTGTTTTGTTTCGTGTGTTCCAGCGTGACTGTGATTATACAGAAACCTTTTACTGTGGACTTTCTGATGTGACCAAATGATTATTCCTCTAGATGTCCAAATGTATCTATCGGATGGCAAAACAAAAATAAAAAAGCATGGTAAAGCTCTTGGAGTTGATTGTAGACATTCAAGTACTAGGAGAAAGGTGCTTGTTCTTGATTATATTTTAAGAAGCTATGGAAAAATCCATTTTTCAGTTACCATTAGTTAACAAATTATATTTTAAGGTGATACAACCATTAATCGCATTGTATGAAAAAATGTTTTGCTGGCAGGAGGAGTGAGTTGATAGTTGGAGGGGGTAGAGACAGATGTGGAAAAATTAATCTTTTGATCTGTTAGGTCACTTTCTTCTTTAATTGCATGTACAAATTGATATTTACCATAGAAGCATCATTTTGCTTGTTCTCAGTGTTAGTCAGTGTTTTACTGTGGTTATTCAGGTAGAGTCAAAAGCGTCAGAACTGCCGAAGATTTCCGAACTTGTAAAACCTTCCTTGCAAGATTCTTCAGGAAAAGAAAGTGTTATACTGTCTTCAACAAACTAAGCTTTTGTCTTTTTGTTTTTAATAAAATCTTGGTTAAGCAAAATTAAAAGTATTGTCAATAAAGGCCTTGTTTTGCTTAATTAGGTATTTATTTTCTACCTTAGTACACTATATAATTTTGCAGTCTACAGCTGGATCTTATAAGCTGTCACATAACCTCTAAACCTGTACTATTAGATAATTGTCTGTGTGTCATGTTCTAGCTTAGTGTTGTTCTAAACAGTTGAGTTGTCCTTGTGAGAAGAGAGAACACTTGCCAACTTTGAAGATGTGGTCATCTGTTATAGCCCATGAAGACCAAATTTTTCTATTAACTCAGGGTTTCAATGACATAATTTTAAAGTGTCTTCGGTATTGTCTTCTGTTGTTTCATATCTCTGAAGCACATACCCAAAACTTGATCCTTTCTACAACCTCAACTCTGTGTACTGTATACAATACTTTTGCACAACAGGGGAAAAGAGGTGTTAATGAAAACTTACCTATAACACAAGATTGAAAATTAAGATGTCTTTTTTCCTTCTGTTCTCCTTCTGCTCACAAACTTTCATTATAGCAATAGTTTCCATGGCGTACAGTATAGGTTCCATTAAAACGATTCTAAAGATAAGGTTTGACTCGTACTTTTAAACAAAGTCTTTTAAATAGTTTAAAAAATTTATATTGAATGTTGTTTCAGAACTTTTTTCTGAAATTGAATATGAAGATAGGGAATGATCATCTTGTTTCTATCTTACGGTTACTCTTTAAGCAGCTTTATTGCTTTAATTTTTACTAACAGTTAACCTCTGCAGTTAATCAGGATAACTTAACACCATCCTCATTGTATCTTGTCGCGGGATTACTTGAGCTTTGAAGCACCATTTTTATGATGATGTACCCTTGTCATGAGCATGGAGGTGGGGGAAAGAAAGTAAAATCTATACTTCCTTCTTCCCAAGAAGTAAATCAATGATTATGCAGTGGAGTTTGAGGGTAAGTTTGATCTGTCACTCGTGAACACCAACTCATAGCAAATATTTGTGTTCTCAAAATGTAGTGTCAGATGTATTGGCTTTTTGGCACTAGAAGTGAAGATTTCACAGCTCATTGTTAATGAAAATGCCTTTTCAGGGGACCTTAGCTTATTTTAGAGTTTTCAAAATATCACAGTCAGGGTCTGTGGGCCCAACAGTGTTTGGTGTCAAGCAGTCCCAGTTTGTGGATTCACAGCTATATAATCAGTTCCTAAAACCAGTAAGCTAAATGAAGGAACTGTTAATTGGTCATTGTAAACCAGAGCAGTAGGTTCAAGTCAGCAGGTGGTTACAGAATCTGAGATGTTACCTTTGATGGCTGCTGTTATGTCAGTATATTACATATCCTGTTATGTTGTCCAAATTCCTTCCAGCATTTGTTGCTTGCTTCAAGTAGTTAGGGAATTCTTTGCTTCTTGTCCGCGGAAGTTGTATATATTGCTGATGTGCTATCAATTTTTAATTTTTTTTTTTTTACACAGAAACAATTCTAAGGGCTTTTGATTAGTAAATGAAGTTATTTCATATTATAAAGTAAAAGTAGGGTCTGGAATATTTGAAGCTAAAAAGACTAGATATAAGGATTGTAATTTTTGAGGACAGTACTAAAGATGAGTTTCCAGAGTGGTTACTGAAAGTGTTTTGAATAATTTCCATTAAACTTCTTTTAGATTCAAGAAGATTGCAAGAGATTTTTTTGTTTGTTTGTTTCTTTTTCAAGCAGTGAGGATAGGTGATTCTTCAAAATAATTTTTTCAAAGGTTGCATCTCAGTGTTGTTAAGAAATTAATATTTTTCACTTGTTTAGCCAGTGCATTATTTTTATATATGGAGTATTTTTCCCAATAATATCTTGCTGATAGGTGGAGTACTAGATAAGGAGAATGCGGTGCTACAGGGCTTACTCAGTTTGCTGTAGATTGAAAGTAATTAGAATAATACAACGGTAGTGAAAAGCAGTTGTAAACTACCTTTTGGTGTCAGGAAATAGTAAAGATTTTTTTTTTTTCCTGTCCAAGATGTGGACAGTTTTATTGTCTTGATCACTGGGATTCTGGGTCTACTGAGTGTCTTTGATTATATGCCAGACATGGCAATAATTGAAAAACAATCTCTTTCACCTGTATATTGCTGAATCCCAACTGCTATGATGAAATGGAGCTGTATCTGAATTCTCTGTCACTCTGGGTTTTAAGGCTTATTATGGGTTGTATATATATGAGTGTCCTTCAGCACGAGACATGAGTTGTGAATCCAGACAACTGTTTGTATTTAAAGACATCACATCCGGAAAGTGGTTAGGAACTTGGTATGTGGACCTCAGCTTTGGTTTGCCACAAAAGCTTGGGCTTTATCTTCAATTAATGTAATCCTACATCTAAAGAGGTAACCTTTTCTTTCTATTGATGTTAGGTGTCAGTGATGAAAGAGGAGGTAAGACATTCTGGTGTAGGTGAACATTGCGTAGGAAGTGGCAAGGAAAAATAAGGTTCACAGGCTGTTCTGTGTTTCTTGAAAAGTGAATATGAAGTGGTGGTGTGTGAACAACAGGTGGCCCATAGCTGTCGGGAAGGTCTGCTGTTCATGATGCAGTTCAACCCCTGTTCCTCCATCACACACATGTTCACAGACATGCAAGTGAGGAGGCCAATAAAAATAGAATAATAACTGTGTATTCATATTTAGTCTGATTTGCATGTGAGGGATGTAGTCACTGATTTGACTTGGAGTGGGGTTGTCCACTGAGAAATACTCTCAGAAAAGAGTATTCTTTATTTAGTAATATACTTGTGTTGCTGAAAATTTGATCAGTTATGAGATTCAAAGCAGTTAATTACAATATCTACAGTAAATGGAAAATGTGTGCTGTTAAGTTTAGGTATTTATTCTCCCCTCTTTGAACAGCATGCAAGACTTCATAGTTTTCAGATGTTACGGACTTCATATGTTTCAGAGTTTACAAATGAAAAAAATAGAAGTGAACCTTCCCGAAGTTCTGGTATGAAAAATTGAAGGAAAGGCTGTGTTTGTCAAAGTCTTGGGTTAGCAAAGGCTGAATTTTATTTCTGTATTTCAGATACTAGAAAAAAACCAAACCCAAACTAAAAAAAAACCCCACCCTAAACTCCAATCACAGAACCCCCCACCCCCAAATAAACCAGGAATAGATTGTTGAATCTGCATTGTCTATTGGCATTTTGAAGCTTATTTACTTAAATTTAGAAGACATGACTTAGTATCTGAAAAAGAAGTATTTTTAATCATGTGTTTTTATGCTTAAAGAACTCTTTCGAAAACTAACTAGCACGCAACTCATTGAAAGAAAATTACTTACTGAAATAAGGTATTTTATTGCAAGTACAGATCAATTATTTTTATACTATTTTCTGTGCACCAGCACTAACCAACGTTTGACACTATTGATTTGTAAAACCAATCTGATGTGAACAGTGTATGATACAAGTTGTTTGTTATTAAGAGATAGAATCCTGTCTCAGAAAAGCTTGTCATCCTGCCAGGACAAAATCACACAAAGTAATTTTACTTGTATCATGTTTTTTTTCAGTGTTGACTCTGTTTCTGACAGCTGGCTTCATGTTAAATGTGAACAAAGCTTTGTTTATGCACGCATGTCTTCAGTGGGTTATGCACCCAAAGTTCAATTCTTTTGAAAGCAAAGTATTTTTCTGTGGTAGCACTGGTTTTATCTAATTAAGAAGCAGTGCAATAATTCTAATACAAAGCATTGAGAAGAAATGTCTTGGTGTGTGAGATAGTTTATTAACCATAAATTTGAGGAATTGCTGTAGTTTAGCAAGTTCAAAGCAAAATGTCAATTGCATTATGTATATTTATGAAAATAGAAATGTTGGGCTTGCTCTACTG